ACTTCATGCAACAAGCGTACGATTTCACAAATAAAAAATAACCTATAAAACAAGTTAAGTAATTAAAAAAAACTTCACAGTAAAGTTTTCTCACTTTCATACAGATCAGACGTGCATGCAGGATGAGATGGAAAGAACACCACGTAAAAAGTTGTGTCTTTGCTTGTGTTCGGCTAGCGTACTGTATGTTTAGCCGCAGCTTGTGCTGGAGCAGAAGAGTTCGGGGACATTTATGACATGCTACTTGTCATTCAACCACAGTTAAATTCACTCTATCTAGGAGGCACAGTTTATATGGATAGTTTTTATTTTTTACAATAACCAGCTGCAATGAAAACAAGGAAAAATGAAATAAAGGTAACAACTTTCTACTTCTTGTCTTTTTTTAAAAATGTAAGAATTAAAAATAAAAAGTAGGCTGAAAAATAATTACTCAAGTAAAGTGCAGATACCAAAAAATTCTACTTAAGTACAGTAAAGAAGTATTTGTAGTTAGTTACTTTACAACTCTGTGTGTGACAGGCTGCTGTAAATATTCAGCACTTTACTTTACGGCCCTGACCTTCAGAGTCACTCAATAAGATCCACCTGTGGCTGTAAAATCCAACACAACTTGTTGGAGAATGAAAAGAAATCCCCTTGTCTTTAGTTCAGATCAGGTCTGTCTGCTCCAAGCTGCTGACTGAAAATTTATCTTCTAAAATTTAGTTTTGCAAACAAATTTAAATAATGTCTACGGTTGGACACATCAGCCAACAGAAGGAGGAGTTGTAAATGATGATATTGATTTTCTGCATTGTTTTAGTCTGCCTGTAGTTCAGCAACAGCAGCAGAGGAAGTGAGTGAAGCTGGGCCTCCAAATTAAATTAAATTAATCTGACAAAGTCAGCAGCACTCACTTACACCTCTCTGCCCAGTAGGGGATGGTTGTTAACAGCTTCATAGACCTGGACCCAATACTGACTTCCACCCATGCGTACTTCAAATTTGTTGTTTTGTTGCAAATTTGTTGTCAAATTTGTTGTTCCTGCTGAAGGGTTTAAGTGTGTAGTGTGTCCCAATTCTATGGACTGGTCTTTAGCCCCGCCCTCTTTGTGTCTTTGATCTGCATTTTGGCTAAGCCCACATCCAAGCAGGCTTTGGTGAAGTGTGTAACCAGAGTTGCACAAGCGGTGCGCAGGAGCGATCAAAACAGAAAAAGCGCACCAGATGGAAAGTCATCAAGCTCCCTTGCGTAGCTGAGATTATGAAAACAACAGCCAGCAGCGTCGCAAATGTGACCCGATTTCTTCAAAAACAAACAAACAAAAAAATCCAGCCTCACTGGTGTGACTGGATCGTTGTTCTGTCAGAGGAGGGCAGCAGGACCCTGATATAAGGATTAAACAAACACTGCTTTCAACGAATCAGATGAACTCCAGAGCTGTGTTATCCAATCAGAGCAGAGCAGGGCGGGACTTTCACTCAGGGCAGCTTTCAGCAGTGGCTGCGGCGGCCACTCCTGACATCTCCTCCTGCACTTTGCTCCTGAACTACCAGAGACTTCGGTCTGTAAAACCTAACTTTATATTAAATACATGTTCAGAGCGTTGTTATCAAACAGATCTGTCCAACTTTGTGTGAGTGACTAAACTCTCTCCTCCTGAGAGACGGAAACGAGCCTCAGCACACGCAGGCTGTGAATCTGAGATTCACTGTTCGAGTTCTTCTAAGCCAGAGATTCTTAACCTACGGGCCGTGAGCGCCACCTTGAGGGCCTCAAAAGAACAACAGTTTTTAACTTTGGGCCCCAGAGGGCCGTGGGACCTCATTGATTTTAAATAAGGTGCAATACACTTTCTCACCACTAGTAGCAGTAGTGCACCACTCAGATGTTTAACAACTTTTTAATATGTAGAAGAAGAACCTCAGAAACCTGTTGAGAATGGAAACTTATTTTAAATGAAAATTAGAAGCAAAAATGAAAGTAACTCATCAAAAAACACCAAAGTTTGTCACTAATATGAAGAGCAGCTTCTGTTTTTACCCTGCAATATTTTAAAAGTTCAAAACATTATCAAATACAGTTGCAGATATAACTATATTTTAATTTGCACTTTATCAAATTATTTTTTGTAGTTTATTTTTAAAATATTTTAATGTATTTTAAAGAAACTTTAAACTTGTCAAAAAGCTGTTGTTACTGTTATTGTTTGTCACTAATATGAAGAGCAGCTTCTGGTTCTACCATGCAAAAATTTAAAAAGGCTTGATTTTCATTTGTACTTTTTCAAATTTATTTTTAGTTTTTTGTATTTGAAACTTTTAAACATTTTTAATTTATTTATCTTATGCCCACAATTTTATTTTTTTGAATTGTCTATTTTTGTTATTGTTAATATTAAAATATATATTTTTGTGCTGATAAGCCTGAGTGGTCTGTTGACTGACCTTTGTATTTGTTCAAATAATTGTTATGGGCAGGTTACAATATAAAAATGTTTGTCATAATCATGTCTTGTGATTATTTGACAGGAGTTTTACTTTTAAACTGTAAGTGTATTTTATTTAGTTATGTTAGTTATAATAGTTTAGTTATGATGTAAATACAATAAAAATTAAACCAAGATTTAGAATAATTATCATTTTGATCCATACAGTGGTAATGTCTGACTGGGCCTCGTGTCACTTTATGTTCAACAAATTGGGCCCCGAGGTCAAAAAGGTTAAGAACCCCTGTATTAGACTTCATATAGTCAAAATCAACTTACAAAGTCCAGCTGAAAATTCCCATCACTTAGGAAGGTTCAGTTAGGTGGAGAGGCAGACCAAACTTAACACTATTAATTGGACCTACAGCCCATAACAAAGGCCATGCATCTCTGTTTTCCATAACTGTTGTTAAAACAGCAGAACTAACGTGGTCATCTTGTGAAGAAGTGGGCGGAGTCTCCACTTGGGTTTCCAGGTGCGGGCTCGACTTGGTCATCAGGATTGTGACGTAACAATCCCCAGGTTTTTAAATCGGCTCATTTGCGAACACTAACAAAACATTTACATATTGCCAAAAAACGTTGGAGTATTTTTTTTGTGCTTGGATGGTTTCTGGAAGCAGCACAGACCCAAATTGAAGCATAAAAACTTGTAAATATAGTATTTTGCACAACAGGTACCCTTTAAGTTCAGCTGGCTGTTGCAGACATCTTAAAGTGATTCCTCAAGTGTTTCCATCAAGGTTTTTTGATGCACATTTACAAGTGTCTCATTAAAAATGTGAAAAAAAGTCAGATGGAAACAGCAAAATTCGGAAAAAAAATCCTCGGTTCACTAAAAAGTTTTTACACTCGCTTTAGGTGGTTTTTGGATGATTCGCTAAGTAGTTAATGCGCAAAACGGGAGATGGAAACACGTTTGCCGAATAAATTCTGACAGCGCATATTTACCTCATGTGACATTCAGCTGTTTCTGCTTTCCTGCCTCGTCCCGGATGTTAGCCCTGCGTAGTTGCACGTGCCTTTCTGCTGTGTACTTTAACATTGCGTTTATTTCCCTAAGTCTCCTGGCAGCGTTAAACATAGCCTAGCTGAATAGATAGGATAATTACAACTTGCCCAATAGCAAGGCATTCATGAAAAAATCACTCCATTGTCCCGAGATGATTAGCCTCTGCTAGTTAGCAAGTTTCACTTCCTGTTTACTACCGCAAAGCTTATCCCGACGTCTGACTTAATCACGTGTTGCGTAGCCTCGTCTGATGTAATCAGGCATTGCGTATCCTTGTCTGACGTAATCTTGCTTTGCGTATCCTTGTCTGACGTAATCTCGCTTTGCGTATCCTCGTCTGACGTAATCACGCGTTGCGTAGTCTCGTTTATTCACATCAAACAGTTGAGAGGGAAACTGGATGGAAACAGTCTAGATTTGAATTTTTATTTCTTTAATTTTTTGCGAATTTTGAAAACTTTGATAAAAATTCACTCTACAACTGGATGGAAACACGATAAAACATTACCTTTTAACCTTTGGCAGTGGTTTATTTAAAAAGAGAGAAAAAAACTGCTGAGAAACATTTTGGTATTCAGACTGCACCAACTTTCTCTTCAGTTACCAAACACAAAACATCATGCTGACATGGACTTTTACGGTTTCCCTATCAATTGTAGAATCTAAAGTTTTTGTTCCTCTTCCTCATTTGTGTTTTTTCTGTCCCCACAGGATGAGTACGAGACGTTTGATTCAGTTCCTGGCGAGAAAGCTGTTTGTCTTCTGTCTTCTGTCTCTTCTGATTCTGAGTGTCCTGCTGTTTGTTCGAGTCAAGTATAACACCATTCCTGAATCCTCGGGCCTCTTCAGAGCTTCTGGATTGCAAACATTTTTCAAACACAACATTAACTGCTCAGCTATTTATGACTTGGACCCCGTGGAAGTGGGAAAATCCCTAACTATTAGGAGGAAAAAGATGGTGGAGGATAAAGATGAAAGTCTGATGAGCCTCACAGGAAATTGTTCCTTTTTCACCCAAGTCAGAGGTTATGATGACGTGTGCATTTCTGAAGAAGAGAGAGACTTTCCTCTGGCTTATTCTTTGGTTGTACATAAAAACGCCTGGATGGTGGAGAGGCTGATCAGGGCAACATACTCCCCCAATAACATTTACTGCATTCACTATGATCAGAAGTCCTCTGCTCACTTTGTCTCTGCCATGCAGGGCTTGTCCCACTGCCTGCCTAATGTGTTCATCGCCAGCAAGCGTGAAGCTGTCTTTTATGCCAGCATCAGCCGGCTGAAAGCTGATCTGAACTGTCTGTCCGATCTTCTGAGGTCAGAAGTCAAGTGGAAGTATGTAGTAAACCTGTGTGGCCAGGATTTCCCCCTCAAATCCAACATAGAGCTGGTGTCAGAGCTGAGGGAGTTAAACGGCTCCAACATGTTAGAGACCAGCAGACCATCTCAGCTGAAGAGGCAAAGGTTCACCTTTCACTACGAACTGAAAGATATCAGTTTTGAGTATCAGAAGCTGCCTGTGAAGACGCAGCAGGCGAAGAGCCCCCCACCACACGGGATAGAGATGTTTATCGGCAATGCATACTTTGTTTTGTCTCGTGAGTTTGTGTTGCATTTGAACTCATCAGATGTGGTGAGGGATTTCCTGGCCTGGTCTGAGGACACCTATTCTCCAGATGAGCACTTCTGGGCCACCGTGGTGCGACTGCCAGGTGTTCCCGGCGAGGTGCCCCGATCTCTGCCTGATATCACAGACCTGATGAGTAAAACCAGGCTGGTGAAGTGGCACTACCTGGAGGAGAGCCTATACCCTCCATGTACTGGGGAACACGTTCGCAGTGTTTGTATTTTTGGCGCAGCAGAAATGCATTGGTTACTCAACTATGGCCACTGGTTTGCCAATAAATTTGATCCAAAAGTGGATCCCATTCTCATTCAGTGCCTCGAGGAGAAGCTAGAGGAAAAACGAAGGTTGTTTCAGGCAAAGACAATTCTGACTTGTCGTAAAGGTTAACTGAAGTAGGATGACTGACCTCTGTTGTGAACTCTGAAGTTCAAGTTAGGAAGGAACCAACCTCCACTGCAGGCTGGTTCCAGCACAAAACATCTAGAATCATTTGTTTACAAGTGTTGACTTGTTGATTCACATAGCTCTTGCTTTGCCTCTGTACATTCAAACATTCATTTTTGATAATTAGTTTTTTCAGGGGATTCTGATGTTATCAGTCCATGAAATGGACGTTATTAGGCATTATCAGTCCCATGCAATGGCTTCAGAATGTCCCTACTGTGCCTTCTAGCCTTCAGACTGTCCCGACAGTGCCCCCTAGTGGGTTAATATATCAATGACAATGAATGTGTAAATAACCATTTAACAAAACATATTGTAATAAAGTTTTTGTCCTTGCCTGGTGGCGATCCTTGCTCTTGTTCTCCTTGTCGGTCTCGAGCCCTGGTCTCCTGATCTGTGGTCCGACACTCTACCCATTGCCCTATTGTAAGGCCACAATATACAACCGTCGGAGGGCGGTATCTTTAGCGCTAACCATGACATTTTCTCTAAGGTTAACCTTAGTGGCTTTTTGCATCATGTTAACCTGTTTTTTATGCCTCATATTAACCAGATAGTGGTTCTATGCCTCACATTAACCAGCTGACAATCAGAAGCCATTCTATGGGACGGGGGAACCTGCAAAGCGGCACAGACGGGACATTCTGAAGTCATTCTTGGGGACTGATAACGCCTAATAACATCCATTTCATGAATGATAACATCTGAAGCAGTTGGTTTTTTTATGCCTAATAGTACAAGGATGTTAACACCATGATGGTCTGTGAGGAGATTAGGCAAGTCCTAAAACTCCACATCTGCAATCTTCTGTTCCAAAAATAACATCATGGCAGCTTCCATAAACTGGATCCAACTCCCAACAAGAGAAGGCAGGAACACTTGGTCTATTAACGGGTGGGCAATTCTGGTTCTCGAGGGCCACAGCCCTGCAATGACTTTATTAATGACTTTATTCCCTGTTCGAAAACACCTGATTCAGTCACTGAATTACTGCTTCCACGTTCTGCAGAAGCCTGTTAATCATCCATTTATTCAAATCAGGGTTGTCGGAGCAGTGAAACAAGTAAAACATGCAGGGCTTACAGCCCTCAATGCCCACCCCTGCTCCATAATATAATACAGTATGTCTATAAGTTAGCTTAATAATAAAATCACAACATAATTTAGAATTTGGTCACAGAAGCTCAAAATTTAAGATGATTAAAGTTTTCTAACCGACCTCAGCCAAATCAGATTTGTCCTAACTCGATGTTGGTTTTCAAATACTGAGCTAAAATAATGCTATTTTCAACGTTTTGACCAAAAGAGCTACTACTGCATTTTTCCACATAAAATGATCGTAGTTTAAAATGACCATGAGATGTGGCGGTCAGTATGCATTGTTTTGTAAGAAACACTGGGTCTTTATTTACTGCATTTTGAGGGTCTGCCACAACAGTTGATGTGTTTTATTGTTTAAAAACATTTCACACACTATATGTTGTTGTGGCACGTTCTGTTATGTTCAGTCATAAAGTCTGTTTTTAGTTGCTGTTCATTTTAAACTCACCATCTTATAAGACACATTCTGCTCTCATCGCCAGAAAAGAAGAAGCAACATAAATCAAAGGCTGTGAAGCACAAGGCTTTTCAGACAGTTCAGGCACAATGTCTTTTGACTGATTAACTCACTGTGGACCTTGTAACCCTGCTAATTTTTTTTTCCATTTTTTTTTTTTTTGCTTGAGTCGAAGGTTTTCAAGGCGTGACTTAAATCAACAAAGTGTACTTTTAACATTCTTGTGCTTTTAAAATAATGAAAAAAGTATCAGTTTAAATTATTTTACATTTATTTAAAACACCAAAATGTTATTTTATATTTTAAGCTTGACAAATGGTTATGTGAATAAACAGTTTAAAACCTAGTATTTTGTTTTTGAAGTTTTTTTTAAGGGATTCATGATTAGCTGTAACATTAGACATTATTTAATAACCATATACTTTAACTGTAAAAGACTGTAAAAATACTGTAGGATGTTTAGTTTTTATCATGTTTAAACTAAAAGTTTAAAAATATATTTTAACACGGACGGAGCCATTTTATTTACACACAAAGCATTCTGGGTAAATGATGACGTGGATAGGTCCTCGGTGCGAGGCTGCTAGCAAGCTATATCCACCCTGAAGGTTAATCTTGGACAATATCTGATGATCGACTCTTTTAAATGAAACCAGAGAGCGTTGACAGAGAGGAGAAGGTAGAAATGACTCAGCCTGGAACTGAAAATATGGATGGAGGACAACAGAGCTGCTTCATGGAAGAACAACCTCAGCTTAGCCTGTTAGCTTTAGCATTAGCTCTGACGCTATCACCATACATATGTATTAGCTCAGCGCTACACATTCTCCTCTCGTCACTGAGGTCCTCCATCCACATGACAGAGAGGGGAACACAAAAATGACTCAGACTGCAACTGAAAATATGGATGGAGACAATATAGCGTCAGGGCTAGCTTGAAGGCTAACAGGCTAAGCTGAGGTTGTTCTTCCATGAAGCAGCTCTGTTGTCCTCCATCCATATTTTCAGTTCCAGGCTGAGTCATTTCTACCTTCTCCTCTCTGTCAACGCTCTCTGGTTTCATTTAAAAGAGTCGATCATCAGATATTGTCTAAGATTAACCTTCAGGGTGGATATAGCTCGCTAGCAGCCTCGCACCAAGGACCTATCCACGTCATCATTTACCCAGAATGCTTTGTGTGTAAATAAAATGGCTCCATCCGTGTTAAAATATATTTTAAAAAATTTACAAAACTAAACAGCCTACAGTATTTTTACAGTCGTTATTTTACAGTTAAAATACATGTTTATCAAATAAAGTCTTATGTTACAACCAATCATGGATCCCGTTTAAGTGTTTGTTCTATCAAAACATTCTGAATAAATGTTTTGATCAAAATAAAATTTGTGTAAATCAAAATGAATTTGTAATTTCTTTAGCTCATTTTAGTTTTTAGCTACAGTTTTGTTACTTTTAGCTACCGTTTTGCTAACTTCAGCACCCACCCACAGCAGAAACTCAGTGACCAATAATCCTACCAAACATCTTGCTGGAACTTCAGCTCCCATTGTTAGAAAGCCACCACATCATATGTAGAATTCCATGAGTTTTGCAAACGAAGGTAAACGTTTGGAGCTGGCTCCAGGAGAAACACTTGTATTTTGAGGCTCACTTCACTTTTCACTTCTACACCCATATCAGCTGAGGAGGAGACCTCAGATTTCATCACTCCAAAACATCCCTCTAGATAACAAGGCAGACACATTTTGAGCTGTAGCTTAATTTGCATGTGAAATTAGGTCAAAAGTTTGGGCAGCCTTGTTGATTTTCCTGATTTACCCTTATAAATCATTGACTGAATAAAAAAACATCAGTTAAATATATCATATAGGGGACAAACACAGTGATATTTGAGAAGTGAAATGAAGTTTACATGATTTACAGAAAGTGTGCAATAATTGGTTAAACTAAATTAGGCAGGTGCATAAATTTGGGCACCAAAAAAACAAACAAACAAACCCTTAACTCAATTTTTAGTAGCTCCTCCTTTCACAGAAATAACAGCCTCTAAACTCTTCCTACAGCTTCTAATGAGAGTCTGGATTGTGTCTGAAGGTATTTTAGACCGTTCTTCTTTACAAAACATCTCTAGTTCATTCAGGTTTGATGGTTTCTGAGCATGGACAGCTCTCTTTAAGTGACACCACAGATTTTCAATAATGTTCAGGTCTGGGGACTGAGATGACCATTCCAGAACGTTCTACTTGTTCCTCTGCATGAAGGCCTTAGTAGATTTTGAGCAGTGTTTAGGGTGATTGTCTTGTTGGAAGATGCAGCCCCGGCTTCAGCAGCTTCAGCTTTGTCACTGATTCCTGAACATTGGTCTCCAGAATCTGCTGATATTGGTTGGAGTCCATGCATCCCTCAACTTTAACAAGACTCCCAGTCCCTGTACTGGCCACAAAGCCCCACAGCATGATGGAACCACCACCAAATGTTACTGTAGGTAGCAGGTGTTTTCTTGGAGTGCTGTGTTCTTTTTCCTCCACACATAACGACCCTTGTTCTACCCAAATAACTATTTTAGTTTCATCAGTCCACAGCACCTTATTCCGAAATGAAGCTGGCTTGTCCAAATGTGCTTTAGCATACCTCAAGCAGCTCTGTTTGTGATGTGGGAGTAGAAAAGGCTTCCCCTGCATCACTCTCCCATACTGCATCTCCTTGTGTAAAGTGTGCTGAATAGTTGAACGATGCACAGTGACTCCATCAGCAGCAAGATGATGTTGTAGGTCTTTGGTGATGGTCTGTGGGTTGACTCTGACTCTTCTCAACATCCTTCACTTCTGTTTATTCCAGATTAGTTTTGGTCTGCCACTTGGAGCCTACACTTGAACTGTGCCTGTGGTCCTCCATTTTCTCACAATGTTTCTCACAGTGGAGACTGAAAGCTGAAATCTCTGAGATAGCTTTCTGTATCCTTCCCCTAAACCATGACGGTGAACAATCTTTGTTTTCAGCTCATTTGAAAGTTGTTTTCAGACTCCCATGCTGCCACTCTTCAGAGAAGATGCAAAGAGGAGAAAAACTTACTATTGCCCCCTTTAAATACCCTTTCTGATAATTGGAGTCACCTGTGTATGGAGGTCAAGGGTCACTGAACTTACCAAACCTAATTTAAGTTCCAATAATTAGTTCTAAAGGTTTTGAAATCAATAAAATGACAGCGGTGCCCAAATTTATGCACCTGTCTAATTTTGTTTAAACAGTTATTGCACACTTTCTGTAAATCATATCAACTCCATGTCACTTCTCAAATATCACTGTGTTTGTCCCCTATATGATATATTTAACTGATGTTTTTAGTCCAAACAATCAATGATTTATAAAGGTAAATAAGGAAAATTAACAAGGCTGCCCAAACTTTCACAGCCCACTGTACAGGTTAGGATTAAGAAAGCTCACCGAATGGGAGTTCAAATGTATTCAGCTACAAAATAAAAATCCACTTATTTTTCTACCTCTGCCAAGAAAGTGATGTTTTAGGTCGTGTTTGTTTGTCTGTCTGTGCACAAGATTAGGCTACTCAAAAAGTTATTAATAGACTTTACTGAAATTTTAATATATTATTATTATT